TTATTTTCAAATTCAGTAGCATTTGAAATGAAGGTCAAAGTTTTACCGAACGTTCAGCTGTTCTGATTTCGGTAAAATTTACCGAACACGGAAACAAAATCTTAGTGTGCGTAGCTGAGTGCGCAATGTTTGTTTTGATTTGCTATGAAAGTTTGACAGATAAAATGAGGGGTTCGTGGATTTTCCTATGTTTCGAGGGGTGCATCGATTAGCTTGGAACCGAAGATAGTACCAGAGCTGAGCCAAAAAGTTGAGTTCGTTTCTTCGGGACCTTCTGGTCTTAAAGTTACCTCTATGGTACTAGCAACAATCAATACGAAACTAACGATTTAAAATTGGCTCACTACTTGACTAGCCTATTGGTCCCAAGCAAACGATTAACGTACCCCATTCTAGTCGAAATTCTAGTACTATGCAATGTTTGTTTTGATTCGCTATGAAACTTTGACAGATAAAATGAGGGGTTATTGGTTTTTCCTATGTTTCGAGGGGTGAATCGATTAGCTTGGGACCGAAGAGAGTACCAGAGCTGTGCCAAAAAGTTGAGCACGTTATTTCTGGACCTTCTAGTCTTAGAGTTACCTCTATGGTACTAGTACGGAAAACCATCAATTACCTTTCATTATCCGTATTTTCGGAATGGGGATGCTATGTATAGGCCGGAAATTGATGTACCATACAATATGCATGTTTTGGAAGCCAAGATGGCAATTCCTGTTTACGATATGCATATTTAACTAAAGCACTATCGTAAAAGTATGGACGACTGTCAACACAAAACTGAAATTGTTGCAAACAGCGCATTTTGATGGTTCGATTGGAAAAACTTTTGACAGACGTCCATAATTTTACTTAGGCCGTTCGCAACGCTGATGTATTTTATATGGACTGTTTCAATATGAAACTAGAACAGAAACGCACCCCTCGCAACGCTGAGCTGCAGTTGAATTATTTGAGCACTAGTTGCACCAAATTTGTACATGCTCGACTATTCTGTTCCAATTACCCACTTCCTTCGAGCAGTTCAAATGACGTTTAGGCCGTTCGGAATGCTGAGTTTCAAAACTGTTTTAAACTACTCGACAATTCTATAATTTGAAACTGTCAAAAATAAAACTGCAACACGATCAGCGCAACGCATAGTTCTAAAAGATGTTTGTAATCATCATGTTGCATAAACTTTACTATTCTCTATGAAGTTCTCCGTTTTTTTTTTGAGAAGCTCTTCGAAACATCTTTGAAATACATCCAAGAAAATTTGAAACAGAGTTGGAGTTCCATTCGTGTTTCAAACTCGCTCAGAAATAAAACAGAATAGTCGAGCAGTTGCAAATCTGGTGCAAAATAGTGCTCGAATAATGAAACTGCAACTCAGCATTGCGAGAGGTGCGGTTCTGTTCTAGTTTCAAATTGAAACAGTCCTTATAAAATACAACAGCATTGCGAACGGCCTTACTACCTCGAACTTTGAAATAAAACATTATTTTGAGATTTTCTTTTCTTCTAGAACCACGAGAAAAGTAGCCATCATTTGTGCGTTTCATAAAAAATAGAAAATAGTTGGTCCAGTTTTGTGGAATCGCTGGTAGAAAGTCACGCCAAAACTGCTTGATAAAATGGTCAATTCTGAGCGAGTTTAAAACACGAATGGAACTCTGTTTCTAATTAACCACTTCATTCGAGCAGATAAAATGACGTTTACTACCACTCGAACTTTGAAAAGAAACATTATTTAAAAAAAAAATCTTCTAGAACCTCGAGAAAAGTAGCCAACATTTGTGCGTTTCACAAAAAAATAGAAATTAGTTGGTCCAGTTTTGTGAAATCGCTGGTAGAAAGTCACGCCAAAACTGCTTGACAAATGGTCAATTATTTCTCTTGTTGTATTCTTCTAACCCGACAGATGGCAGATGTCCAGGGAACAACAAGGTAACGAAACTAAATCTCATTCTGTTATTTTTCGGAGCATCGGCAAATTGATCGAGCAAATAAATTTACTTTACATCATAGACATCTCTCAGGAAACCAGATGACTTCTAATTTTTACAAAGGTCAGACTCCAAACACATCTCTGGATATTTTTTCAACACTTCTGGTTGAACTATTATTCTGAAGATCTTCTACTGTCCAATAATTCAAATCACGTCTCTCAGATATTATCTTATTATACCAGGTTGTTCAGTAAATTATTCCAAAAACCGTCCGGAATCAGAGCTCAGCTCAGAATAGGTACTATTCTAGCGTCTCTCAGAAATTCTCTTACGATATCACGTGACTCAGAAATTATTCCACAGATCTACAGTTGACCAGATATCTCCGAAAAATTCTTCGGATATTTTATTAATACTTCAGGATGATCTTTAACCTTTGCGTGCCTAACGTCTAAATTTGCCTAGATATCAAAATTCAATTAGCTCTAAAAACATCATTCCTCCGTCAAACCAATGATTATGATGCTGATTATACGAATCCTGGGGAAGCATCATCCTCGTTGTTAAAGAAACCTCTGAAATCCGGGATGTTCAGTTGATCATCGCTACTTGAATCACTGAGAGTATCTTCCGAGTCTTCGTATTCTGATTCCACCATTTCAGTGAGCAATCTTGTCGTGGCTGTTTAAATTCGCTTCAGTTGCCTCTTGCTAATAATCCGGTTCGTTCTACATCGTGCCTTGCGCTGGTTCTCCGGGATCCCATACTAAAGGGCTTTCCTGATCATCTGTTATAATGGTTGTTTTTATGAAAATACAATGATGTTCTATCCCTCTATCATGGCTATATGTTGATCCAGTTTTTTTTTTTTTTTTCCTTTGGTTTGTTTTTTTCCGTCGATCTTGTTTTCCGTGCTGAGCACCAATGCTACCGTCGTGCCAGGAAGGCAGCTCCCACACCTGGACCCTACCTATCGACCCATCAAACTCATGAACCGGGGACCAACGGCTTTACTTCCCATCCGAAGGAAGGCGTGATCAGAGATGTTATGCCTCAGAACATCCCGGCGGCGCCGACTGGGATTGAACCCAGGCCTGCTGGGGTGAGAGGTAATCACGCTTACCACTACACCACCGGCGCCGTTATGTTGATCCAGTGTGCAGATAATTAATATCGCTGTCATCTTCAAAATTTCATCGTCTTGATCTAAAGAAAAGAAAATCGCCACTCGATCAAAAGTTTTGAATTAAATAAATAAAAAAAATGCTGCCATTAGACTCAATTATATTGAAAAACAATTCAAAATCATAATTCTAAGCCACACATTTTTTTTAAATTTTGGCTAGTAGTTAAATTCCAACAAAGTTTTGGTCCGCTACATCACAACTGGCATCACTAGAGTGCATCTTTCAAAATGTAAATATACAGACAAGCCCTGCGACTTGGTTGCAGTTAAGTAATCATCAAGGTTATGCCAATGCCGAGGGTAAAAATGTGATTCGGTTTTATTATTCCGAAAAACATTATTTTAGCTGAAATGAGTATTTGCATAAAGCTCTGACACAACTAGCGCGGAGTGTGCTAAATGCCTCGTTCCACCAGCTGGGCGCCGTCTGTTCTTTGGCTCCAGTTTCCTAGGCATGGTCGAGTCACGTGCCCTCACCTCACTACGTTCCTCTCAACTCTTCCGCGTTCAGGTTCGCAGGGCCGCTGTCTATTCGTAGTGTTTCAACGAAGATATCCTTGTCGAAAGCCTTCGTCTTCCACTTCCGCTCGCAAGTTCTCGTTCTCGTCCTCCGTACTGTCACAGGATTCCATTGAATCTATACAGAGATACTATACCGTATCACCTAATGGTCGCTATGGGTATATACTCCTATATATACTCCTCACAAACTCTCCAGCTCATGTTTGCCAACAGCGAAGGACTGCAGAAAGTGACGTCGATAATGGATTCACGGCCGTCTCTGCGAAAACTGCTGACGGTGCCTTTGTTGGACAGCCTAACAACTTACAGCTTTGCCAGAGCTTCCAGTAGGCTGTGCCCCGTTGGTAAGTCTGCTTCCCCAGTCCACTGCCCAATCATTGAAGTCTCCTCCGATGACTACCGGTCTTCGTCCGATCAGCTCATCGGTTATTCCATCCAACATCTGGTGGAACTGCTTCATCTATACTGCCCCTCTTCGCATGTCGGTCCCATAGTCGTTTTTGCTGAGTTTTTCAAGGCAAATGGTAGATAATCACCCATATTTTTACAATACTGGATGAACTCAACAACTTTGTTCTGAAAAAGTTTGGAAAGACAGTCAAATTGGTTGTCCCACATAAGAAGCAATGGTACGAAGCTAACATAAAACGCGATTTTCTCGGCTTGCTGATTTTCGCTATGGGACGGACATGCGAATAGCGGCAGTAGAAGTCTGGAGTCCTTTTTGATTGGGTCGTATGTAACATTTATGTCAATTAGAGAGACAAAAATTGTTTCTATTTTCAATGAGTGTGTGTTACAAAATTTGAGAGGCGTATTTTTTGGCAACCACTGAACCAAAGTGGACGCAACAACCGCCAAATGAAAGGTACCATAGTACCATTAAATCGGTCTACTGGTTCCGGAGATATGGCCAGAACATGTTCCGGTGAATTCGGGTCGTGAGTCTATAATCGACCTGAATCGTCGACACCTTAAATCACATGAGAATTCAAAAAATAAGTGCAATGGTGGTTATATCAAGTACCCAGGACCACATTGGACACATCCGGACATTTTTCTGGTACCCTAGCGGAAATGATCCGCTTCTCACATAGTAGACACAGCCAAACACAATTATTTACAGTTTTGTAGTACAATTTATTTTTATCTAGATAAAAAAACCTATGTTTTTTCACAGATGGGATCGCTGCACATATGAATCGGCCGTTACTGATTTTCAAGCAAAAGTTAAGCTTAAGTTTCATGTCGGTTACTCGGTGCTAAGGTTTTTCACAACGAATTAAATGAAAGAAAAAATGTATAGCATAGCATTGAGAAGCATCATAATCTACCTTGAACCACGTTAAAATGAAGGCGTATCATCGATGCAGTTCAAGTTATATCACTCTCCTTCGCAATACCTCATTATTTATTCTTTATTAGCGAATCCAAGTTTATCAAAAAAGAAAAATGTTGGAAGTAGAAAACCTACCACGGGCTGGTAATGGCGCAAATGCATATTTACAACAAACCTGCTCAGCTACAGTTGCTTACTGCTCAGCTGCTCCCGTTGACGGGGCTGCCGCAGCAGCGGGATCCGCTCGCAGTCCCCGGATGCTGATGTCGTAGACAATCTCCTCAATCTTCTTAACGTCGTACTTCAGTGCATCGAACCGTTTGCGAAGTCCATCGTTTTTTAGATTCAACAGTCGGAATCCGGAGTTCAAATCAGCGACAAATTTCGAAATGGTAAGCGGTCGCTCGTAATCGCCCAGCGTGACAGAATTTGTGGCGTAGCGGCTCTGAAAGCGGTAGATGTTCTCTTTAGCTTATTCAACTATAAGTTAAATGCTATTAAAATTTACCAATTCCGAGGCCAGCTGAAGAATTCCCATCAGGTAATCTTCAATGTCGAGGTGGAATCCATGTGCCTGCTTGGTTTTCACTGAAACAATCAAGGGTTATTACTAGGATCCGGAAATTTCCTCACCCATCGAAACATACTTCCCAGAACCTCCGCCGTGGTATCACGACTGACGAGAAAACCCTTCTCTAGATAGACGGTCAGTGCCACCAAAAAGACAACCCGTTGGGTTAGGAAATGCCAATGATCATTGTACCGGTAGTACTGTCCCTCAGGAATCAGTCCGGCCAAACGTTCGTAACCTTTGCGACAGACCTCAAACTGGTTGCGGGCAGCAAGACAAGCGCCGGAAACTTCCGTCAAACTGCTGTGGATTACCTGCAGCGCAATGGTAGCTTCCTTCGCGGCTTGGTCTATTTCACGAACCACTTCACGAATTTGCTGTGTTATTGTAAGTTATAAAAAAAAATAAACAAGGAACACGTTTCATACATAGCTGTATTCCAAACCCTGCAAAATGGAGTGCATATTATGCCGGCTGCACTGAACCACTTACCTCGCGAAGTTCTTGCTCTTTGTTGAGATAATCGTTGAATCCGTCGAAGATGTCTTTGACCACTATGTTCTGCATGATTAATCGAAGTGTTTGCTCACTTTTATACTGGTTAATTAATGGGAAATGTAATTAATGCCTATAAAAACCACAGCGCTCTTTTCTACCGACCAGACGACGCGTGTTTACAAACAGTGCTGATGCTGGCTGACTGCTGTCTCTGTGAGTGGCCTGAGTGCATACACGGTAATTCTAGAATACTCCTTTTATGACTATGTTTTACACATTTTCGAGAATACGGTTTATACGTCAAAAAATGTTTAGATTTTAGTTATAAATGAAGAGTACTTTTTATGCATTTCCGAGTATGTCAACGACGAACAAAAATGTGTAAAAAGTAGTCCCCGCTGAGAAAAGAAAATTTATGCCGCGACGTGCCGCCATTTTCAAAACAGCTTTCATTGGAAAAGCAGCGTTTTAATTCAGTTCCCGGTCCCGGATTATTTCTGCGGTGGGTCAGCGGAAAATGGAGGAATTGTCCACTTTGGAACAGGACGTATTCACGACACTGGCAGGTAATTAAAGCATGTACTTTTATTATTAACCAAATACAAATTTTTAATCGAATAAAAAAGGACATCGAGTATTCATTACGTGTTAAATTTAATTTTCATCTAAATGTAGATCATGTCTGCGGATGCCTCCGAATCATGGGACAACTGTCCAGAAAAGGCGTTAAAAAACCGCCAAATGTGATGCCATTGGGAGTCGAGGAGAAGTTGGCAGCACCGCTGATTCGATGGATTGGTGTAAGTGTTTTGACGATTGATGCGAATAAAATCTAGAAAGGATTTATTCCATTTAATTAAATAAATAAATAAATAAATATTACTGTTAAAATTCTTATGCATTTTCATTCAATATTTGAAACGAACTTGAAATACAAAATTTGTTTTATCGTAGGTATATTTTTTTTTCAATGTAAAAACTATGCATTTAACTATGCATGTGGGAGTATAAATTACGCATTTATACTTTGTTCGGGGTGTCAAAACTACGCATTTTTAAGTTTACTATGTGCACACTTAGAAAAAATCACCGACTTCGGTAATTCATTTACCGAATTCTCAACAGCTGAACGGTCGGTAATGTTTTCGGTAATCGAGAACATTACCGAAAAATCTGTAAACTGGATCAGCAAAATTAACTGTCAAATTTACCGAGCGATCGGTAACGTTTACCGATGTGCATTGCTTGATTTGTAGTCGACTTTACCGGAGAACTGTAATTTTGAGGACGATATGCAAATTGAAAATAACCGAGAGATCTGTAATTTTATAAAAAGGTAACCGACTCAACTGTAATTTGCTTTAATATTGTTTCAAGGTGGCGGTCACTGCAACCCATGTAAAAATTTGGCAGCTGTCGTGATCAATAAGTTAGTGTTGCTAATTGCACCACCAATGAACAAACCCGTTTTCGACGGAAGGATTCGGCGCTACACTGAAAACAAGGAAGCTTTGGAAGAATATTCCAAATGCTGTTTTCAGATCGTCGTCAACGGGAATGGAACTTGGACCTTTTTATTTTTCACAAGCACGAACGCATATGGTGGATTTGACGTTTACCTAGACCATTACCGAACTCAGTAATGGAACGCTTTGTTTACCGAAACTTCAGTAAAATATTTCACCGAAGTCAGTGATGAAGCTGATTTACAGACCTGCCGGTAAAAATGTTTACCGTTTTCGGTAAATTAAAATGAAATTACCGAAAATCGGTCATTTCATTTACAGTTTTCAGCAATAAAGCGAGAAAATACCGAAATATCTGTAATTTTTAGCATTACCGATCTAAGACGGTATTTTTTTTTACCGAACTCAGGGTCTCTGTTTAAGTGTGTGGTGTAAAAAGTATGCAGATTCTGACGTACATTCAATTAACGCAAAAGAGAGTAAAAACAGTATACTCCTTTATTGGGTAGTCCCATTTTCCAAAGAAAGAGCGTACTTTATAGTCATAAGAGAGTTTGTTGTGATTACCGTGTATGTAACTCAACGAATAGGCTGAATGAGAATAACCCAAATTTGAGTTTAGTTAACTCATAAATCACATGAAGTGCAGGAACTCAGCGATGAGTAAATTTACACATGTTTTCGCAGATTTTTCCAGGAAAGAATTCCTGAATATGAAAAGTAAAGATTGGATTCACTCAGTCAATTGGTACTACTCCTAGACTGAATAAAATTTTCGTCAATTTTCCTCATTTTCTGGCAGATTTTTGAGGTTTTCCACAGGAAACCATGAGGCAAATTTACTCACTGCTGAGTTCCTGCACTCCTGGCGAATATGAGTGAACAAAACTCAATTTTGGGTCATTCTCATTGGCCATGTAGATTCTACACGCTATTTCAAAACTACCCAAATTTGGGTAGAATCCACCCAGATCCGTCAAAACTGAACCTACCCAAAAATGGGTAAACTGTGTTGGGAGTGACAAGTTGACAAATGAACAACATTGACTTAATCCAATCGACGTTGTTCATTTGTCAACTTGTCCCTCCCAACACAGTTTACCCATTTCTGGGTAGGTTCAGTTTTGACGGATCTGGGTGGATTCTCCCTTAGCTCTGTCGGTAAAGGCGCAGCTACAAAGCAAGACCATGCTGGAGGTGGCTGGGTTCGATTCCCGGTCCGGTCTATGAATTTTTCGGGTTGGAAAATTTCTCGACTTCCCTGGGCATAGAAGTATGATGTGTTCGACGTGTTCTGGGTATCATCCAAACCATTTGTGGAATAGTTCAATTATTTGGGTTATCGTTCGTATACCAATGCAAAAATTGTACAGGCATCGAAAGCTCTCAATGGATCATTGAAGATGCTGAGGTTTTGACCAGTGGTGGCACGAGTCCTGGAGTTTAACATTTTTTCCATAACATTTGATACATTTTGCGATAACCATTGTGACGACACACAAAAACAAACTGGCAAGCGGCAAAAATGTCATGACATTTCTAAACTGTTTTCTGCCAGCGACAGAACATTTTCGCACAAAGAAGCAGACAAGACCGGCGGCGCGCGCGACATAAATTTATGTCGTGTAGAATTTAGCTGATTTCTGGCTAATTACTGCATTTATTTGATGTTTATTGCATGGAATTAAAAGATAAGAATGAAGACTAACCACTCATAAGAATTGATGTTAAAATTATGCGTAAATAACGGAGTTGGTAATTTACTGTCACACGCAAGCCTGCAGCTAAAATTTCATTACAATAAACTGTTTGGAAAAATCAGGCTGCGAGATTTTATTTATTCTCTATCTCCGCTGTTCGCTTGGAATGTAGTTATACACGGTCGCCCGTGTGATGGCTGTTTTGTTTCGCTCTGGACGATGGTTTTTCAAAAAATGTACTGTTGCCACCTCTGGTTTTGACAGCACCGTACTGTGGCTACCACAGTATTTTACATTGGTTCGTCCGTATACAGTAGCGCCAAATGAAAGCTGTGGTGGGTTCAAAACTCAGCCATCTAAAATGATCCATTAATAATTGTGGAAGTGCATCTAGAACAATGAGGTACAGAGAGAGGTGAAGCAGATCGTGAAATATGGTTGTATTAGTAATCCAAAAAATCAACGTAAACGCAATTAGTGACGTCACTACTTGCATGTATCGTACAGGGGTTTTACTCACACAACTTAACCGACTGCTTCACCTCGGTAATCCAGCTCATTGCATCTAGAACACTAAGTTGAGAGCACGCAATAAGCTAATATGCGATATGCAATAAGCTTGAAATGCGAAGAAGAAGAAGAAGGGTGGATTCTACCCAAATTTGGGTAGTTTTGAAATAGCGTGTAAGTGTAAGTGCGAGAATGGCGAGAATTGATGTCGTTTTCGTTTTTGCGGTGTAGCTACACCGGTGCTACACTGCCGTACACCGAAATATTTTAGGGTGTAGATATAGGATGCACCTTTGTTTACAAACAAATGATGTTGAGCTGTCAAAGGCTCACGCTTATTCCTGCTTACACTACACCAGTGCTACACCGCAAAAACGAAAACGACATGAATCAGCTGTACACGGAGAATCGAAAAAAACTCAAAATTACGTATTTTGAACTCATCTTGACCTGAGTACTGCAGACTCACTCAATGTGCTTGTAACCGAGCTTGTAACTTCCCTATAATAAATAAATACCATAAACGAACTGTACTCGGAGATGAAAAACTACGCAAAATTAAGCACTTTTCCCTCAATTCCGGGGTTCAGCCCAATAACCCAAATTTGAGTAAATCGCATATAGTAGTTTCCATTTAACACCAACAAAAAATTACTTACTATAAAGTATATTTTACCCAAAATTAAGTTTAATTCACGTAAATTTGTGAATATGCATTTTACTCAAGAGTAACTTATTGGGCTGAACTATATCGTTGGGTCGAATCTCTCGTTCATTTTTTGACAACAATAACGAGTGCAAGTGAGAGGCTGAAGTCAATATTAAGTGAAAAGAACTCAAATTTTGGGTAGTATTTTTTCTACGTGTATCCCAAATGGGTAAACCACAAACGAAGTGACAGACGACTAACTGGCGAAGAAATCCATTAAAATAATGTGGTTCACTGTAATAGAATTTTCTTGGAAGCTTGTGCCATCATCCACCAGATGGGTTAGTTTTTTTGTTTTGATTTGACCAAAGTTGATTTTGTGTACAATGATTCTTTGACAGTGTGCAAAGAGTGTATCATTTTGTCATTTTTTTTTGCATTTCAGTTTTGAGTAGAGTGAAAGAGATAGAACCAAAGCATTCTAATACATTTGGTGAAAATGCTAGTACAATCCAGTAGTAGTGTTGCCATGTGGTACAGTCTAGTAGTAGTGGTGTTGCCATGTGGTACACTGAAAAATTGAAATAGCAGGTTAGTCACCAAAGTTTTCGAGCCGCTCCGTCTGTCACTTCGTTTGTGGTAGTAGTGTCAACAATCAATACGAAACTAACGATTTTAAATTGGCTCACCACTTTAGTAGCCTATTGGTCCCAAGCAAACGATTAACGTACCCTATTCTAGTTGAAATTCTATTACTACACTATGTTTGTTTTGATTCGCTATGAAAGTTTGACAGATAACATCAGGGGTGTGTGGATTCATGCAGAACATGCAGGGGTGAGTG